CAGACAGACAGAGAGAGACATAGAAACAGAAAGCGAGAAATCACCCCCCAGGGGGGATGGTCACGCCACAATCCCTTCTCCTCCATTCTCCTCTTGGGATCTTGGGCACGCACGCACACGCGCCCAGTGTGAGTTTTAAGCCACCGGGTCTGGGACGCGAACTGCGGTCGACCACATGGGAGCCAACGACATAGCCATTACGCTAACTGCTAGTTCCCAACATATAAATAATTCTTAACAACAACAAAAAAGAAAATATTTAGTCCACTGAGACTTGGCACTATAGTGCAATAAAATATCTCAACCTAGTAAAATACTCAGCAGAAACCAGGCCTAAATTTAATTCTTCCTAATAATAAAATCTTACTTCTTTGTTTCTCATTCAGTAAAGGTTTTCTCTTTTTTTGGTACAAAATATTCCTTATTACCATCAGCAAGTCTTTCTGTGTTATCTTCTTTGTAACTCCACAATTTAAGTTTATAAGTTCGTCAGCTATTAAAATTTAGTATACACTGTCTAGGGAACAAAAGCTTAATATATCCTTTCTACTTTAACAAGATCTAATTTATTTCTATAATTCTTATCTCTCAAAGTTCATTTTCCAGCTTATTGGTTTCCTATATTGCCTATGTACTCCCATTTTACTCTTTATATCTAAATACTAATGGTAGAAAGATCAACCACTAGGCCTGTCTCCTCATGTTCCCCAATGAGAATACCACCAATGGCTTCAAGTGCCCTGCACCACTACAGCCCTTGTGAACAAAACTGGTAACTCATACACAGGGGACTTCAAAAAGTTTAGAGAAAATTAAGTTAAAGTACAAGTTTATCTTGGTGCAAAAAACTTTTGAAATCAATGCAGCTTTATCATACTACACATTGTCTATGAACTTTTTGAAGATTTGTCATTTAATCACATCTGAGTCTTCCATAGTTTGGACTTATTCTTGAAAGATTTCAACTCTGATTTTCAACTTAACTGTATAGGCTGGTTTTAACTGTGCTGCTTATCTGCGAATCAACTTTCACTACTCCAATTCTTACTACATTTTCTCAATTTCGGTCCTCTGTGGTAATCTATTTTTTTAAAAGGCTGAAGGAATGAATACTCCGATACTACACAGATACATAACTTATAATAAGTAGCTGCAAGGCTATTCATTTGAACTAATTTTTTATTATTCAATTCAGGATGACCTACAGAGAGATATAAGTTAATGGACTTTGGCATTAAAATAATCTCATTTTAAACTGCTGAATGAATTCTATTGTAATGGAAATAAATACAGCCAAGAACCAATGTTTATACTGTGTCTTTAGAACAGAATGATCTTTGCAGAGTAAAACAATAAACACAGTGGTGCTTTTGGAGTCACGCATACACAGCCATATCCCCTCCCCCGTCAGACATTCTTGGAAGATACTGTACAAAGTCACGCGGGCAAATACGGGAAGCAGTAGAAGATTAGTTCTCCACTAAGAAAATCCAAATATGCTAAATGAACAACTAAACAGGTGGAGATTCTACAAACTGACAAAACAGGCAAAAGCAGTTTTATATCAGGTTGTCGGCGCCATTGCACAGTGGTTAAGCACGTGGCACTGGTTGCTGGATCCCACATGGCTGATCACAATTTGAGTGTTGGCACTGGTAGCTTAAAAAAAAACATTGTGTGTGTGCATGCACCCACATAGACCCACATGTATGATCAAAATCCTGATGGAATGGAGAAATGGAAGAAAAGGGATTGTGCTGTAACCACACCCCACTGGGGGAGTGCTTTCTCTCTAGTGGGTGCACCCACTCTCTGGCAAAAACAAAACATGTTTCATGATGTTTAGCTATGTAAACTGTGATGCAAGAATGCCGTTAGCAAGGTTAGAACTGCCTGGTGACCCAACCCCCCTGTTCTGTAATGTTAATAAAATGGTCATCTGTTTTCCTCTGCAAAAGATACCATCTTAAGTCTGGTCTTCGCACTGTGTTTTTAGAGCAGAATGATCTTTGCAGAGTAAAACAGTAAACACAGTGCTGCTTTTGGAGTCACGCATACACAGCCTAAGTATCCAGATACTGACCACTACCTCCAGGGAGTGACACGGTTAACACCTGCAGAGCGGTCGGTGTCCATGCAGACTCTGCGAGGGGCGAAGCCCTGTCTCACTGCCTGTCTTAGCCACTCAGTCTCCTCCATCCCTGCTAAACTGAACGGGAAAGGTGTGAAGAGGGTATGTTCTTGGAGGGGTCAGTGTGCTCTGTGGCCACTCCTACCTCTGCCTATAGGGCAGAGAAGAAGAGGAGTCTACTCCTCACCTCATGCTAACCTAGGAAGGCTTCAAGGGAACTACCAGAGAACAGGACAAACATCTCCTAGGTCTAGGTGAACACAAAAAGTAGGATTTCACTAAAGCCTGAAATGTTTGTACCCATTGCAGATTTAAAAGACTGCACAGGTATTCCACCTCTGCTGAGAATGAGCTCTCGTTTTCCATGAGCTACATCAGACCCCAGGGAAGATAACCAGGCATGAGGTTGCTTAGAAAGGTAGTTTCCCAAGGGAGGACTGACTAGAGGGGTGGAGATAACCAGCAGAGGGCAGAACACTAGAAGCTAGGGGCCAGGTAGGGGCAGTGAGGGCCAGCTGGAGTGCTCCCAGGAACCTCCCAAGAGAAAACAACCTGTTAAGATGAAGGCTGGGATCACAGTGAAGCAAGTACAAAGCCAGGAAT